GAGATGGAAGGATTTGAAGAAGATTCAGAGCCAAGAAGGAATAGAAAGAAGCTTATGGCTATCTTTTCAAAGTAAGTTGTCATGGCTAGCCATGAGAAAATGTCTGATGGCTCCCCTGCATCCAGTATTTCTCTCTTTTTTTTTTTTTTTTATTAGAGAAGTTCTATACTCGCCTATGTTTAATTAATTAAACTTGATAGTTTTCAGGTATAACTATCAGGAAGAAATCAGTTTGCCTATGGCATTACCTGCGTGTTGGTAAGGTCTTCAGCTGACTTGGTCACCAGCCCTTCAAAACTAAGCCATGAGGTTCAATCTGCAGGGAATCTTTTGTGGTGGTGAAGCCCCCCCAGTACTCAGATTTCAGGATTGGAACCTTAATTGCTTTGGTAAAAACTGCTCCAAAAACAAAATTCCTGTTTTGAAATATTCACTAAGTCACTTTAGAATTTTAACACTCAGATTCTTAAGGAATTCCAATATATTTTTCTATATAGCCAGGCTCTCTCTAGTCCTGGGTATCAGCAGGGCAGAGATTCGAGCACAGTGGTTTTCAGTCTTTTTTCATTTGCGGACCCCTAAAAAATTCGGAACGGAGGTGCGGACTCCTTTGAAAATTTCAAATGGATGTCACTTTGAATTGTAAGTGTGGGTATTCGCATGGTTTTCATCAATCACAGTTGTCGTTTGCAGCCCCCTTGGATGTAGTCTGTGGACCCCCAGGGGTCTGCGGACCACAGGTTGAAAACCACTGTTCTAGTGGCTAGAGCTCCGTGCTTTAAACAAGGAGACCCAGATTGTAATGCAGGCTCTGCCACTTGAGCTGCTGTGCCAACCTACTGTTTAAAATGCATCTTGTTTAGGAGCTGATACTGAATCCAGGTAAATATCCTCCTTCCCCCTCCACCACTCCACCTGCCCAGTGTGATCCGTTCAACTACCAAGGGGGGAAAACAACACTAGAGAGAAGCAGGAATAACAGTGAAGAATAAGGGCAAATGTTCAGCTGATATGTACTGAGAGAAAACAAGCAAGTTAAACATTGACTGTTCAAAAAAGAAAAGAAATCACTTTGGAAGTTCAGTGTCTCCAACTATTTTTCTTTGATATATTTATAGAGATAGATAAATATCTAAATAATGCCTGATGTCTTCATATCTCAGTACCTTTCAGGTATTTAGGAACTAAAATGATGTCTCCCCCCTCAATTCTTTAAGTCTATTTTTATCCTTTAGTCTGTTGCTGCTGTTCTTAAACTTGTAGGCATTTCTCAAGAACTTAGGCAAAAAAGGCTTGGGAAAGGATAAGAGCACCATTTCATTTGTGGCATCATGATTCATCTGTTCTGTGTATGGGATTTTTTTTTTAAATTTTTTAAAGATTTAAATCCTATTTTTAGACATGAAAATACTTGTTTATGAAGTTTCTTTCTGCTTTGAGAGATTTAAATGTCAGTTGCCAAAAACTTTTTTCTTTAGTTTTATCTCTGGGAATCAGCGAATGAAAATTTTCATATGTTCAGGTGTTAATGCCTACACACAAAAAAGAAGAGTACTTACCATCACTAGATGGCAGAG